GGAATTACCAGTGTGCACCACCCCACCGGACTAGGGCTATTCTTCCCTTCCTATCCTTATTTCTTTTATTTCTTTCTCTTGTCTAATTGTTCTGGCTAATGTTTCCAGAACTATATTGAATAAGAGTGCTGACAGTGGACAGACACCCTTGTCTTGTTCGTTCCTGATCTCAGAGTGAAAGCTTTCAGTTTTTGAACGTTTAGTATGATGTTGGCTGTTGGTTTGTCCTAGATGGCTTTTATCAGACTGAGGTAAAGACCATCTATTCAAATTTTCTGTAGAGTTTTTTATTTTGAATGGTGTTGGACTTTGTAAAATGCTTTTTCTTTGTCTATTGAGATGATCATGTTATTTTTGGCCTTTGGCTCTGTTGATATGGAGTATAACATTTATTGATTTGTGTATATTGATCCATCCCTGCATCTCTGGGATGAATCCTACTTGGTCAGGGTGTATAATCTTCTTGATGATTTGCTGCATGTTGTTTGCCAGTGTCTTATTGAGGATTTCTGAGTCTATGTTCCTTAGGAAGATTGGCCTCTTTTTTGGCTGGGTCCTCCTCTGTTTTTGGCACCAGGGTAATGCTTGCTTCTAGGAATGAATTTGGGAGTATTGCTTCCCTTTCAATTTCATTAAAGAGTTTGAGAAGTAGTGGCATTAAGTCTCTCTCAATTTCTTGTAGAATTCGCAGTGAATCTGTCAGGGCCTGGAGTTTTCTCTGTTGGTAGGTTTTTAATTACATCTTCAATTTCATTGACGGATATTGGTTTACTTAGAATTTTTATATCTTCTTGATTCAGCTTTGGTAAATCATATATATCTAGGAATTTGTCCATTTTTTTCTTTGTTATCTTATTAGAATACTGATTCTTGAAGTAGATATTGATGATCTCCTGGATTTCTACAGGATCTGTTGGGATTTCACCATTTTCATTTTTAATTGCCTGGAGTTGAGTCTTTTCTTTCCTTTTGTGGGATAAGGTTGGCTAAGAGTTTGTCAGTTTACTTACTCTTTCAAAGAACCAACTCTTTGTTTCATTAATTCTTTGTTCAGTGGACCTTCGAGTTATAACTTGACATACTTGGGTTATGTTGGGTTAGTTTGAACTTGGGTTAACTTAGTTCTACTTGGGTTAGTTTTAACTTAAGAACAAAGTCTTGAGTTATGGCCTGAATGCCAGCTACTTATACTTTCAGATGGTCTCAGATTTAACCCTTAAAGAGTTCTGGAAGGAACATTACAACATCCTTTCTTGTGTAGGATTAATTGAGAAATTCCAGGCCAATGTCTCTCTAAGGATACTGAGAGGTGCCTGCATACAGAAGAGAGACTTTAAGACTGTGTAGAGGAGCCTGAGCCTTCAAGTGACCAGCATGAGTTATAACCAGTCCTTGGGAATGAACTGAGTTCATAAGTCAAGGGTCCACTGTATTGTTTTTTTAGTCTCCATTGCATTAATTTCTGCTCTGATTTTTATAATTTCCTGCCTTGTACAAGCTTTAAGCTTGGCTTGCTCTTCTTTTTCTGGAAGTTTCTCAACCCACTTTGTCCTCTAAAGAGAGGCAGATTTGCATTTATGGAATCTGGAGCCAGACTTTGAGGCTTAGACTCTAACTCAACACTACCTGTGGGTTTTGTTGTCCAAGTGAAGGTAGAGATGAGACAGGCTCTCCTTCTGGAGTGAGGTGAAGATTATGTGAGTTAGGCACATTATTGATTTAGGCACAGTATTAGGGAATTGATCATGTTAAAGTATGCTGTGACGCCACCATCACAGGCTGCATTTTCCTGGTGCTTCTTGGCTCTTAGAATGACTTCATGCTCTTATCTTTAGTTTCCCTACCACCCAGGCCATAGCGAGACAGAGAAGTTGAAACCTGTTTCTGCAGAGCTGAACCCATAGAAGACAACCTGGCCTGTGGTAGGTTAAAAGTAGCCCACTCCTCATGAATAAGCAATAGCCCGGCCCAACACCAATAAAAGGACCTTCCTTTCTTTGTTCTTCTCTCCTTCTGCTTCTTCTTCCTCCTCTCTCTCTCTCTACTCCCACCCCTTGAATAAAATCTCCAGTCGGACCTCTCGGTGTGTGTGTGGCTAGTTGTTGAGCATCACAATTCCCTTTCACACAGTGTTTCCAAGACTGCTTGGTATGAGACAGATGCCCAGTCTGCAAGAAGGGTGTGGAAACAGCTTTATAAAAATGAAAGCCTGCGGTTGTAGGTAACTAGTAAAATAAAGTTTATAAAAATTGATAGGATCTTAAGAAAGTGTTCATAATATATTCTAAAAACGAGGCCCACAGAACATAAAACTTTCAAATATAAAACATAGGAATGTATACCTAGGAAATATATGATTTCCAAAATATTATTTGTGGATAAAATGATAAACAGTGGTTATCGCTAGATGGTTGAATTATTTAGAAATATTTTTCTATTCCAAAGTAGAAAGATGGTTGGCAAGGGCTGGGGGAAGAGGGGAAACGGTACTAAGTGTTTCATGGCTACAGTTTCTGTTTTGCAAAATAATAGAGCTCTGGAGATCTGTGACCTAACAATGTGAATATGCCTAACACTACCAAAATTGTACACTCAAAAACAGCTAAGATGGCAAATTTAATTTTTACTACAACCTTAAATAATAAAATATACGTTTTTATGGAAAACACAGTAGTTTAATACTTAAGCAAAAAATTGTAGGATGTCATTGTTTGGTTTTCAAACGAAAGGTCTCCATGGCAATTGGCGGTGGGTAGTAGCACTTTGTGTGCCTGAGTTTATTGGGCCCCACCTAAGCCAAGTTTGCCCAGTGTCAGTGGAGCTTCCTAAGTGGACTTGGGTCCTTTCACTTTGCTCGGTCTGCTTTCTGAAGAGGGCTATTACCGAGACTTGTTTACTTTATCTGTTTTTCTTTCTGACCTGGCTTTTGTTGGTGGTTGCTGAAGTGGGATGAGGGTGTGTCCACGGCAATGACCTCCAGATGCTGTAGTCCCGTCACCCCCGCCCACCAAGCCCTGCAGATTCTGCGTCAGCAGCACTGTTTGCAGGACCACCTGCCAAAATCCTGTACTGCTGGCTGTCCTTTGATCTGTAAACCTGAGGCAGAGCCAGTTTGAGATAGAGGAGGCCGGCCGGTGACCCCAGAGCAGCTGTTTTGTTGCCTTACAGCTAAGTCCTAGACCAAGGTCTTAGCAAAGAAAACAATGAGTCCTTCATCAAAAGATAGGTGAGGGCATGAACTGACAATTCCCACATATAAAGAGCTAATAAACATGAAAATGGCCATGTGTAAAAAGCACCAAAATGCTAAGAATGATGGTGGGATTGTGAGTGCTTTTTCTCCCCCCTCCAAAATATGTATGTTTCAAACAGTCAGGGAGTGTAAAAGCATGTAGAAAAGATTGGTCTTCTCTCTTGGCCAAATCTATGTGATTTGCAAAGAGTGCCGCGTTCTTACTCTGTTTGTGACTCCACGGAGGTCAGTCCTGTCCAGTCTATGAGGTGCACTCCTGTCTACAAAGGTACTGTGGGCACAGGTACCAGAGGCAGAGCCGGCCTCAGCCTTTCCTTCTCTGCGTCTCTGATGTTCCAGGGACAGGGCTCTACATTTGCTTCTTGAGACAGAGCATCATTGTTGTTGGGCTTCTGGGATCCAGGCTTCTGGTATTAGACTTGCATTCTCTTTGAATGGAAGGGTTGGTATCCTACCCTTCCCTGGTTCTTCTTTTCCACTGGTAAAATGAAGCAGGTACTCCTTGCTTTCCTGGCATGGGGAAGAGAATGCAGTAGACAAGTTCTGGAAAGTGCTAAGCAATAGAAGGTCCAGAAAAGCAGAAGGTTATTTAACTCCACAGGAGACTCAAACCACTGTGAAAACAATTCTATGAGCCTTGATAAATAAACAGATAGGGTCTGAGCCCTGGAAGGTTCTGAGCTCTGTCTTCACCTTTGAGGGTGACATATTCCGTAGGCTCGCAGGACCACTGGACCCCTGCTGTGGACTTTGAATTTGGTTTTGCTTAGTGTAGACACCGGCCAGGCTTCTTGTTCTCCCATTATCTCCATAGTAGGCAGATGAAGGAGACTCCACACACAGTATAAGGGTAAAGTTGCAAACTTTGGCTGCCTTGTACCCTTTAAGTTAATTGTTGAAGGGCTCTTTATTTATTTCAAAGTTCAAAACTTTGTGGACTGATAAGGAAAGAAGTCTGGGATGTAGAAAGTGAAAAACATGTTGTCAAAGGAGAGGTAGAACATGATCCTGTGCTTTGAAAAATCTATAAAATTTTGTATCTATCTGTGTATCTATCAATTATCCATGACAGTCTATCTGCCTATCTGTCTATCTATCTGTCTGTCTGTCTGTCTATCTGTCTATTATCTTGGTAAATGGGCAGAAAGGCCCAAACCATGACCATTTCCTACTCCTGGAAACGAGAATGGAAAGGTGCAAGGAAGCACTCTCACGTTACATATTTATGTACTGTCAAAATTTTAACAGGTAACAGAAAAGACTTTTAAATATTTACCCACATAACTAGGTGTGGTGGTGCAGCCTTATAATCCCTACTTGGGAGGCTGAGGCAGAAAGATTGAGAGTTCAAGCCCAGCGTAGGCAACATAGTGAGACTCTGTCTCAAAATAAAAAATAAAAAAGGTTGGGAGTGTAGCTCAGTGGTACAGAACTTGCTTAATGAATGTGAGGCCCTGGGTTTGATCCTAGTAACACACACATACGCACACACACACACACACACACACACACACACACACATACACTTACCTACTGTAATCTTAACTATCCTCCAACAGTATTTTCAAATGTCTCATCAAGTGCCTGGAAAAGGGTTAACACCAGTTGTTTGAGGTGAGGACAAATTCCTGATTGGAGGGTGACAGTAGGGTTAGGGGTGAAAAGCAAAAGAGTGGGAGGGAAGTGGGGGAAGAGGCCCACAGGCGGGCTTAGCTCTCACTTGAAACCAATAGCATAAAAGTATCAGGCCCAACGCCCATTAGTGGAGACTATTTCAGAAGTCAGGATTTGTCCTTGCGTTCATTGGCACGGTGACTCGTCAGAGAACTGGTGAGCTTGCAGATTTGACTGCTGGACACTGCTTCTCCTGGAGGTGGAAGGTAAACCCCACGCTTCACCTGATCTGGTGATGATGTCTGAGGCGTTCAAATTTCCTTTCTGATGCTTTGACTTCTCTTTCTGCCCATGGCTGTGAGATGCTTATCTTTACTAGCTTCCAGTAAAGGCAAGAGACAGTGTTGAAGAATTAGGGAGACCCTTTCGTGGAATCTCCGTTTGGAAAGGAGGGAGCACAAGTGCTTAATGATGTTGTCTATTTTTTTTTTTTTTCATGGTACCGGGGATTGAACCCTGAGCTTTCACAGTGAGCTATATATCCCAGAATTTTTTTTTTTTTTTTGAGATAGACCCTCACTAAGTCACTGATTTGCCCACTCTGGGCTCAAACTTTTGATCTTCCTGCCTCAGCCTCCCAGAAGCTGGGATTACAAGCATGTGACTCTGTGCCCACTCTTGTCTAATGTAGAAAGCGGCTAAGCTTTTGCAGGGATTACATTTGCTACTGCAAATTCTACTCACAGTAGATCAGAATTCAGCTGAGCGCTGTTAATGTTGTACAATGGGTTCTTGCTTTATTTTCTCACCAAAAAGCCTTAAAACTCAGCTTACTCATAATAAAGCTACTCTATAAGAGAAAGCAGGAAAAAATAAAAAGAGTTGTGACCTCCGATGCCATCACCCTGATATTTAGTTCCACATGGAGGTCCTGACTCCAAGGCACGCTGTTCTCACAGTGACCCACCTCACAGGGATCCCTTCTCTCCCGTGTAGGCTTTGCTAGCGATGGACCCCTACATGATCCAGACAAGTGACAGCGACAGCGAAGTTCTGGACGTGCACGGCAACATCGGTGGGAGAAACCCCATGCCAGGGAAAATGAAAGGCAGGAAGGCCAGATGGTCAGTGAGGCCCTCTGACATGTCCAACAGAACCTTCAATCCCATCCGGGCCATTGTGGACAGCATGAGGGTGAAGCCAAACCCAAACAAAACCATGATTTCTCTGTCAATTGGTGAGTCAGGGATACTCGGCGGAAGGGGCCATCACTCTTTTCACCTCCCATCCTCATGGTCTGGTTGGAAAAGATGGGAGTAGAGGGTGAATCTGAGTGCTGGACACAGGAGAGTAATCTCCTGCTGGCTTCTTTTGTTTTTATCCTTCCATGAACAGGGGACCCCACAGTGTTTGGAAACCTCCCCACAGACCTTGAAGTGACCCAAGCAATGAAAAATGCCCTGGATTCAGGGAAATACAATGGCTACGCCCCATCCATTGGTAAGCTCCCTAAGACTCTACCCAGAGGGTTCCAAATCTTTAGTACTCTTTTAATAGCCCTACATTTCTAGCAATTCTAGTAACTGCTAAGGACCAAATAAGATTAAACAGACATTTGGATTTCGGGGGAGAGGTCTTGTTCCAGATTCTTGAACACAAGGTCCAATTTCTTTCCTGGCTTTCCTTGGCATTCTGACATGTCCTTCTAGGCTCTACAATACACTTAATCCTCGAATAATGAGGATTATCATTACTGATTCTAATGTGCAGGCTGGAGCTGTGTGGAGCCCACAGTCATTTACTTACTGCCCTGTGTCAACAACTCCTTTGCTTTCTTTCTCCTTGTCTGTATATCAAAGAACTTTTTATTATGGAATTGGGCACACGGAAATGCAACTGTAACTGCTTAAGATAAAGAGACCCCAAAACAACAAAGAATGAAGGACGGAAGGTTGCTTCTTATAGAAAAACAATTATTCCTATTTTGATTAGGTCTCTCTGTCTTTTAACTATTTATACCCTAAAGATATTGGTAAGATGAGTGATTTTTTTCTCTTTTTACTTTGTGTCAGTGTTGTTCAACGTCCCCTCCCCTGTATATGTGTACGTAAGAACAGAGTCTTAGGGCAGAAGAAAAATGAGGTTTCAGCTAACATCAGATTTAAAAAGTACTTCACAGAGGTATCCGAGATATGATTTTTAGGTTGATTGTTAACATATTAGAAATTTCTATACAACAAAAATCAAATTCAGGACAAAAAATTAAGCTATATAAAAGATTACGGCTTTAATATCCAGCGTATTAGGGAAGTGATTCGACTTGGAAACCAAAACCAAGTCTCATAACAAAGAAGATATGAATGGCAAAATGTGTAAGACTATGTTCTTTCTCATTAGTAATTAAGGAAGAGGTGAGTCATATAATTTCAAAAGATCCATTTGAATCTATTGACGAACATAAGTGAAACATTGCTCTGGCCTTGCTAACTTGACTTTTGGGTAGCTGTTTTGCAAAATATTTTTATTTATATTTATAGTGAGCCTTGAAGCTTGGAAGCCAAGTTTGGAAATATCACACAAGAAAATAACTTAAGAGAAAATTTTTACCAAAACACCTATAAGCATAGTATATACTGTCAAAAACTTAAAGTTGACTACAGGTATTGAATGTATTGAATGCATTCATGACGACTTTACAAAAAACAAATAGACTCTAGAAGGAGCTTAGGAATAATATAAATCCTTTATTTTATAGAGAGTAAAACATGATCACAGTAATCAGGCTAATGCAGGATATTTTACAGTTTGGGAAACGGTTTCTTGTTCTTGTTTATAAATTTTTGCTTATAAACACCATAAATTATAAAATTAATCTGCATATACAGTGGCTGATATCTAACCTTAATAGACTACGCTGTGATCAGGGGTGAGAAGCAGCGTGTCAGTGGAGGAACAAAACGCCTCAACTTCCTCTTCCCACTTTTTCTCCTTACAGGCTACCTGTCCAGTCGGGAAGAAGTCGCTTCCTACTACCACTGCGCTAAGGCACCACTGGAAGCTAAGGTGAGCTTTATACAATGTGTCAAGGTGCGCTATCGACTCAGAGGAAACTGTATCCCCTTTCCAGGCCACTGTTCCACACAGAGTAAGGGCCTGGGGCAGGGCAGGGGAGGGGGATAACTGAGGCTGTATCTGCTTTGACAATTTTAGAGCATCTCATACAGCTGGGCCCACCAAGCAGCGATTATACTTAATATCACCACAGCGTGACATTAGTCTCCTATAATTCATGAGGTGTCTGTCACAAGGAGGCCTAAAGGATGCCGAGGTCATTCTAGATTTGATTCCCTTCAAAAGATCATTGAAAAACAATCCATGAACATCAAATAATTAATTCTTTTCCTCACTGAGTTTATTGGTACTTTTTAGGTATACAGTACAGTTCCATTCATCATCAGGATCTTGGACCTTTACATGATGGATCTTGGTTCTTATTTTTTCCCCTTACCCCTGCTCTCCCTTCACCTCCTTCATCCTCCCTATTTACAAAGACCTTGTTTCCATTTTTTCTTTTTCTCATATTTTTTCTTTTCCCTTCTTTCCTTTCCCCTACCCCTCCTACTTCCCCTATATCTGTAGCCCTTTTCTTCCCATTTCATATGATCCATTATACAACTTGAACCTTATTTACTCTTTTAGGTTTCACACCAGAGAAGCGTTTGGTATTTACACAAGTGTGTCCTATTTATTTCACTTAAGAGTATGGCCTCAATATGCATCCATTTTCCTATAAATGACTCTGCTTTCTCATCCCTCAAATAATTAATTTTTTAAAATTGCCAGTAGTATCTTTTTTATCTGTAGCATCATTCATTCACCTTGGAGCATTCAGACAGAAAGATGGAAGTCCCATGATATATTATTATATTGAGGGCAGTGCCAAGTTTAGATGCTAACCGTTCCTCTGTTGTTTACCGTGCGGGGTTAGACATTTCCTGCCATAACAAGTGTTCTTTATCTGTGTGTCGGAGAAGAGCCAGGCTTCAAATTTTGGCCAAAAGTAAATAAATAAGCAGGAGAAAAAAGTTCAAGGTTGGTCCAAGGTCTCTCATGGAAGTCTGTTGAGTCATAGTGAGCTTGTCTTTTTAAAAGTGATTTGTTTATTTAAGAGTCCAACATTCTCAACAACGTTTAGATATGGACACACATATGCATTAATTTCTTTTGCTTTTGGCTTAGTTCAGTCCCCATGTACTTGTACTGCTTCACACAGAACCTGTTAAGTTTCATTTTGCTCCCGGCATATCCACCTGACAGTCCTACCCACAAAGGTGAAATGCAAAGCTCTTTTCTCCTGTGACCGTTGGAACCCCTGACAAACTTCACCTTTTATTTTCTTCACAGGACGTCATTCTGACAAGTGGCTGCAGTCAGGCTATTGAACTTTGCTTAGCTGTGTTGGCCAACCCAGGGCAAAACATCCTTGTTCCGAGACCTGGTTTTTCTCTCTATAGAACTTTGGCTGAATCTATGGGAATTGAAGTCAAACACTATAACCTATTGGTAAGTGACTTTTCAATTTCAGACTCAATCAGCACCTTGGAAAAATATATGACCATCGCCTGTTGGGGACAGGTCTAGAAGTGAATGGCTGAGGCCAAAGACAAACTTTATGATTTCTACTCTACCTTTGGGTTGAGGCTTTCCCATATTTTTTTCAGAATCATCTTAGTCTCACTCTTTCTTCCTCCTCAGCCAGAGAAGTCTTGGGAAACTGACCTGAAACAAATGGAATCTCTGATTGATGAAAAGACAGCCTGTCTCATCATTAACAATCCATCAAATCCCTGTGGGTCAGTGTTCAGTAAGAGTCATCTTCAGAAGATTCTGGCAGGTAAGTTCCAGCAGGTTCACTGCAAAGGGAAGGAGAGGAGGATGGAATCCTTTAGCTGTATCCTGCTGTTGCCAAAGGAGTCCTTCAGTAAGTGCTAAGCTTGGGATGCAGCTAGAGGAGCTCCACTGGCGTCTCTAATCAACAGTGTAGCACTGGAGTGGTAGGTCTTGCCTAAAAGAAGGACAGAAGGGAAATACAGGATGAGCATCCCTAATCCAAACATGTTGGATAAGAAATATTTAACCTATACGTGCTTCTTCGCCACTCCCGTTGTACGGAAGAGAAGGTTTGAAATGTCTCATTAATTAAATTCAAATCTAGGCTCTATACTATGGAAGAGTATTAGAGAAATTTAGTTTTGTACTTTCATGGTGCTGGTTGAACCAAGGGCCTCAGGCACACTAGACAAGGGCTCTACCACTGTCTACATCTCCAGCCCCAATTTACAGTTTTTAAAGAGGAAGACCAAACAGTCAGGTGTCCTGTCACAGAGACACAATTTCTGAAATCTTTGGCTTAAAGGAGGTAAAGCTTAATTTAGTTCGTGATTTCAGGAGGTTCAGTCCATGCTGAGCTGGCTCCAAGGCAGAAAGGGGTGGCAGAGTAAAGCTGCCACAGAGCTTCTAAAGGTCAGGAAGCAGAGCAGGGCAACAGTGCCGGTAGGAACTGGCTAGGGACTACATATATATATATATATATAGTACCCAAGGTTACACGTCTACGACTAACCTAGACACACCCAGGAATGTGCTTTACCAATTTACTGTGTGTTTCTTAGTGCAATGAAGTTGACAAATCAGGATTAGCAGTTCCACAACATAAATGTGAAATGCAAAGCAACAAAAGACTAGGAGAACATTAAATGATAAGGTTTTCACATTAAAAATGATTCCCACATGCTTCCTTCATTTGCAGTGGCTGCAAGGCAGTGTGTTCCCATCTTAGCTGATGAGATCTATGGAGACATGGTGAGTTTGGGTAGGACGTAGCACTATAGTAACCTCAATCCCAAATTGTTGCTTGGGACATCCAGAGTAGTAGGCACCTGGGATAATCAGAAGCAACTCTAAATCACTTCAGTACAGCAAATCATTATCCTTACCCTCTTTATAGAAATATACATCCATGACTCCATAGCAGTTTTTTGAAATCCAAAAAGCTTTAAAATCCCAAGATTCTTGGAATTTATTTGATTTCAAAACCCGATTTGACATGAGATGAGGGTATTTGTAGATTTCTGTTTATGCCACTTATGGATAATAAATGTTAAGAATGGGGAAAATGATAGACATGTCTTGATTAGAGGCACTATCTATCCTAGACTGCTCTGGGAATGTTAATGTATAGTATATTGCTATGTGGACTTTCTAAAACTCCAAACAATGCTGCATTCTGCAATGCAGCTGGACTCAGCAATTTTAGGTAAAGGATCGAGGACTCATATTTTATTTTTAAATCCGTAATTCTAATAGTCACCAATTCCATAGAGCAGCTTCATGAAGTGGAATGTACCGCTGGAATGGAATGAGTTTCCTCATTTCAAATTTCTCTTAATCCAGACCAGACACCAAATTCAGTGCTTTGGATAGACCCCTTTGAGGCCTCTCATCTTGCTCCAGGGTAGGAAGGATTCTGTAAATCTGATGCTCCATCCTTTGAGATACAAGGAAAGGGGTGAGGAGGCATGGGGTCTAGAGGGAAATAAGCAAGATCCCTTCTCTTCAGGTGTTTTCGGATTGCAAATATGAACCACTGGCTGCCCTTAGCACCAATGTTCCCATCCTGTCCTGTGGAGGGCTGGCCAAGCGGTGGCTGATTCCTGGCTGGAGACTGGGCTGGATTCTCATCCACGACCGAAGAGACATTTTTGGCAATGAGGTGAGAACAATGTGATAAAGCAGTATGTGTAATTTAAAACGTATATTTGCACAATGGTGGGGAGTAAGAAATTTTTTCCCCTCTTTTTCTTGACTCTGTTGTTCAAGATGCCTGGAAACCTGCTAGATAAAAATGGTAATAGTTATTTTTCTCCCCAACTTAATTTTCACATATCTGACTCCGTGAAGAAGTTTTGTCCACCTCCACCTTTAGGACTGTAAGAAAGGGAGTCACTAACAGTAATGACAGCCGATTCTGTGGGTCCTCAAAATGAGATGCTGATGAATGGCTAAATCATGCGTTTCCGGGTCCTTCTAGACCCGAGATGGGCTGGTGAAGCTGAGTCAGCGGACATTGGGACCGTGCACCATTGTCCAGGGAGCTCTGAAGAGCATCCTGCGTCGCACCCCTCAAGAATTCTACCGCAACACTCTCAGCTTCCTCAAGGTGAGGCGCCTATGCCCTTCTACTTGGGGAGTTTGGAAGACAGAGTGTCCCCATTTGTATGAGGAACAACCGGTCCTCGTTTCTGGAACGCTGTACCACGTGATGGTGTCAGTGTGTAAACCCATACTTTCCTCTTTCTTCCGACAATTTGTTCTGCCTGGCCAACAACTCCAAGTTATGGATTTTTTTTTCCTCTGGACTCCTTGTGCCAGATCAAACCTGGGTTACTGGCCTTGAATGATGGCTCTATTTTAATGACATCATTTTTCTTCTGCTTAGAATTTGATTCTTGACTTCTCTCTGCCTCTTCTTATAGTCCAATGCTGATCTCTGCTACGGGGCATTGTCTGCAATACCTGGACTCCAGCCAGTCTGCCCTTCCGGGGCCATGTACCTCATGGTAAGTATGGAGGGAGCAGGCATTAGATCTATGCACGTTGTAAAGCACAGGACTGCCATGGGTGGTTGTCCTGGGTGTGTGCCACTCCCTGAAGAGCGGGTGAAGCTCCCAATCCCTGTGCTGGGATTAGAGTGCCACTATACCAGGCTGATACACAACTTTTAATGAGTAGGATAGTCCCATACAGACCTGGCTCTACTTCCCCGGTACCCAAAACAAAAAACAAAACAAAAAGACCTGGCTCTAATGCTAACTGCATTTCTTTTTAGAAACACTGGCATTTTATTTTCAGAGTTCACTTATCAGTGCCCAGGAAGGGACTTGTCAATAAACTCAAATTTGAACATAATATATCCACACTTCCCTGAGAAAAATTCCATAAATTCTTAGTTATCAGTAGTAGAAGAGTTCTAAGACAGCTTTAAGGTAGTCCAGGCCTTAATTTCTGGCTTAGGAAATAGGCCGGTTTCCCCTCCTTCTGACAAGTTTGCCTTTCACTTCCATTATTGGTGTAGGTTGGAGTTGAGATGGAGCATTTCCCAGAATTTGAGAACGATGTGGAGTTCACAGAGCGGTTGATTGCTGAGCAGTCTGTCCACTGTCTCCCAGGAAAGGTGAGTGAATGTTTCTAGAGCCCCTGGAGCGCTCCATGAGCTGGGGTTGACCTTCTTCCTTCCTTTACCCCAGTGCATTCTTATTTGATAAGATGTAAACTGATGCACCTCATGGCTTCTACTTAAAATTTGTTTCTTCCCTGTTCTTATCCTATCTATAACGGGAGATTGCAACTAAACATTCTACATGAGAGGTAATCAGACTTGTACCACAGTCCCTTTTAAGATGAATTAACTCGTTTACTGACTTCAGCATGAGGATGGCTATGGGATGAACTAATATTCTTAACGAAATGGCATCACTGCTTCTTGCTGACGGGAGCCCTCGCCATTTTACAGGGGTCTGCTACCAGATCTGATTGCTCTGAAAATAAGAGGATCTTCTTTTTGCAGTGCTTCGAGTACCCGAATTTCTTCCGAGTGGTGATCACCGTCCCTGAGGTGATGATGCTGGAGGCTTGCAGCAGGATCCAGGAATTCTGTGAGCAGCACTACCATTGTGCTGAAGGCAGCCAGGAGGAATGTGACAAATAGGCCCTCACCCACTCTCCAAGGAGGGCTAGACTGGGCTCCATGACTCTTCGCAGAGTCAGATGCTCCTACCAGGGGAGGGGCCTCAAAATGACTACACCAAGGGTTCAGGATTGTTTTTGCGTTTCCCCAGTTACGTTCATGCACACACCCTGAATCCTAGATTTTTCTCCTACTCTGCTCTGATGGAACAACTAATTCATTAACCTATCACCCTCCCAGGTCTTCCTTCTTTTTTTCTGACAGTACCAGGTGAACAGAGGTTAACAGAAAGTGGGTGAGACAAAAACAGTAAGACAGCATAGAAAAAGCAAAAGATTAGGAGAACTTGTGTCCCTAGCCATTCCTCCTACTCTAAGAACACTCTCTCCAGTCAGGCCTGAAGCCCAGCTCTATTATTGCCTCACTTCAGGTATAACTTACTTTTTGCAATAGTTATAACTGAAAATTTGAGGTCACATGTATCTGGTTAATTATATTTTAAACACAATAGCAAATTTACTATTTAAAGGATCCTTGACAGAAAACTTTCTGTGGGGTTTTCTTTCGGTGATGCAAATAAATATCCTTTAATTGACCAACTTCCTAAGTTTAAATTTGTATGCACCAGGCTTTTTTGAAGTGAGGCTGTATTTCAAGAGAAAGGAGGAATCAGAGGATCTTCCAGAAATACTGCTGTGTAAAGTCCAGAAATAGACTCACTTGTCTTTGTTATAGAATCATTACCACATTTGCCATAATGTTAATATTGATTTATTAATATTTGTTATTTTATCTTTTCATATATTTTCTAAGAACCATTTATATTATATAAGATCTTATATTTTGCCAAGGGCATAAATTATTGTTTTTTAAAATAAATTTTAACAAGTATGGTCCTCTGTGATGTGTTTTTTCCCCTCCTTTCTAAAGGAATCTCTATCACCGGCACTGCTCAATCTGATTGATGAACTATCCACTCAGTCTTATTTATTTCTTATAGATGTACTGATTTTTGGACTTACTTAGGAAACGTACTTCCCCACAAATTTTATTTGGGCATCCAACCTCTGGCTTCCTGCTTATAAACCAGGCAAACTTAAAGATAGCAAATTAAAACCTGTGGATTTTTAATTTTACACTTTCAACTTTTTGGATCCCCATCCTCTGGTACTAAATTCCCATCCTTGGCTAGATCCATTGACCATTCAGTGGAGGACAAAGTGAAATTGGTTTAGCTTGACCAGCACATGAGAGAGGTTATCTGGGTTCTTCTTTGAGCTGACTGTTTTGTCTGTAAATCCTCTAGTTTCCTGTTTAACCTTATTGTCAGTACTTCCCTTAGAGGAGGGAGCCGGAAGTTACCTTGCAAGGTTGGCTGGGGGCAGGACTATACAATAACCAGTCTGGGACTTCTCACTGAGGGAAATTTTCTTAACTAAGAAAGGAACTTCAGATTTCATTCTTGCCAGTCACACCCAGTTAGTCATCTTGATAAAAATAAGCATCAAATATTGTCTTCAAATCTGAGTTCAGTCAGTGCATGCAAAAAGTACCTCTTAATTTTTTCAGCAAATCCAAAACAAATGTACAATATTCAAGATGATAAAGATATCAATTCCCATATGCTACAATTTTGAAAAATTTCCCAAAGTGCCCAATTCCTCTTTTCCTGTCTCTTGCTCCTAACCCCTCAAGGATCTCTGCCCAGAAATGAACAGGAAGATCAGTGGTTCACATAAGACATTTTAGCTTCTCATGAACAGATAATTCTATCCATCATTAATAGAATTTTACTCAGAACTCTTAAATTTCAGAATTTCCTTGCTGTGCACATTCTGATAAATGAACCACATAGAATTCAAATATTTAAAAAATACTGTAATAGGTGTACATTGGACAAATTTCAAACAATACAAGCCCACCAATCTGGCCTCCTTTCCTATTTCCATCTTTCAGCCATCCAGTTTCTTCACCCTGAGGAGACCAGTCATCAGCTGCTGGCTCATACTTCCATTCTGTGTATATCCGAGCATCTCTCTGTGTGCACTTTCTCTCTCACTCTCCCCCCTCCCATCAACTATTACTCGACTTTTTTTTAAAAATTGAGTTTATTAGTACATTTTAGGTATACAGTACAGTTACATTCATCATTGGGATCTTGTACCTTTACATGACAGGTCTCGGTTCTCATTTTTTCCCCTTGTCCCTGCCCTCCCTTCACCCCCTATTACTCGACTTTCAATTCTGAGCCCTACAGAACTCAAAGGAAGGATGAAATATATTGAGGTGTCTACCATATCCTGAGTGCCTCCAAACTTAACATTCTGAGAGAAAACTTCTGTTGCTTGGCGGTTGAGAGCTGAGCGTCTTGAAACAACATAAAGATATGGTCAGAGATAAAGGCGCTAAAGTTTGAGTTCACCTTTTTTTCTATTTCCGAGCTCTGGCCTACCAGGGGACTAAGAGAATCATAAAGTGCCCAGAAAGACTTCATTCTAGTTGTTTTGCAGCATCCCTTAATGCCGCACTGAGAGACCCACGGCTTTTCAGGTACGAGTGCTCTGCACCACCCACAACTGTGGCTTCCAGCGCATGCGCCGTAATGGCTGCTCATGGCGCAGGCGCAGAATTTAGAGCCCGGGAGAGTTCAGTTCCTGTAAGCTGCTGGTGAGTTTTAGGATCTTTGGTTTTGTTTCCCCGTTTAGCTCCTCCCAGACCTGCACCCTGTTGTGTAAACATCGGTTAACCTTTGCCAACTTCAAGTCAGTCTCAGCAAGTTCGGTGAGTTGTGAAGCAAAGTAGTGTCAGTTTCCAAAAGTGTGGCCTCTTGGGACTTTTCTTGAAAGAATTATGCCCTTTATGACCCGAAAGCCTGACATATGTTAGGATCTCTACTCAGCCATAAAAATGAATCCACCTCTATGTTTATTTTATTTGAGACAGGGTCTCACTATGTAGCCCAGGCTGGCTTTGAACTTTCAGGGATCCTCCTGCGTCAGCCTTCAGAGTGCTGGGATTACAGGCCTTCGGCTCGACCTCAGGTTACTCCTATTAATTTATCAGAGATAAAGCTGGACGGTAGTCAAGGTGGTAAGCACAGATATTGATCGGTAGTATACTGTTGTAATGGGGGAGACTCCTATATGAACTGAACTTTGATTTGTATGGGGGTAATTGAGCCGCTTTGTGCAGAGGTGATAGTGAAGGAAGGGAAGCAGTATGGGGCGGGTTTCGGTAGAGTCAAAGTGCGTCTGGGGTTTGAGCTGCCCTCCCGCGTGGTGAGGAGTCAGGGCTCGGGGAAAGTGCCACTTGTCCCCTCCTTTGTTGAAGTCTCTCTCTCCACTCTTCCTGTGGGCTTCAATTCCCACTTCAGATCTTTCCCGGGTCCCAGAGACCCACTTGCACTCTTTTTCTCTTCCTCATGTTGCTATATTCCAGCATCTGGACACCACATTCCAGGGAGGCTCTTTTTCTGATGTTCACCACTCTGCCATCTTCCTGCGATGAGGCACGCTTTGGCATTCAAATTAAAATATATCGTGTAGGAGCTCATGTGCAATTCCTCAAACAAAACAATTAACAGAGGAACTAGCACATGCATGCCTTAATTTTTGTCAACATTTAAAGTGCAGGAAAAGAATTCTTGCCTCTTGAGACTTTTACTTATTTGGTAATTGAAATTCAAAGCATTTTTACATTGTGCCCCATGAAAAAAATAAAGCCATAAAAGTGTTCCCTTTGTCAGTGACTATACTAAAAGTAGAACAGTACAGAGAAGATTATCATGAGAGTAGCAAAGCACATTCAATAATACATTAAAAACATTATGGATCATGACAAAGTAGCCTTTATTCTTGGGATATAAGGATGCTTCAACATATAAAGTCATACACTATGGTACACCACATTAGGAGAATGAAGGACAAAAATACTACACGCAGTCATCTCAGCAGATGGAGAAAAAACTGACAAGATGAAAAATCCTTTCATGCTGGGCATGGTGGCACGTGCCTGTAATCTCAAGTGTTCTGGGAGGCTGAGGCAGGAGGGTCACAAGATTGACTTCAGCCTGTACAATTTGGCAACTTAGCAAGACCCTGTCTCAAAGTATAAACAAAATAAAACAAAACAAAAAACCCAAACCAAAACAAATGGGACCTTTAATCCTAGATTTTTGAGGAATCTCCACACGGATTTCCACAGTGGTTGCACCAGTCTGCACTCCCACCAACAATGGAGAAGGGTTCCTTTCTCCCCACAGCTCCACCAGAATTTGTTATTAGTTGATTTCTTTTTTTAAAAAAATAATTCTGTTGGTACATTTTAGGTATACAATACAAATTTTATTGGTACATTCATCATTGGAAATTTGCACCTTTACATAATTTATCTTGGTTTTTATTTTTTCCCCATTCCCCTGTACTCCCTTCAACCTCTCCATCTAACCCTATTTACAAAGACTGTTTCCGTTTTTAAATTTTCTCATATAATTCCATTCCCCCTTTTCCTTTCCCTTACCCCTCCCACTTCCCCTTCCCCTTTGCCCCTTTTCTTCCTATTATGCATTTTGCTCCTCATTTACCTTTTCAGTTTCTCACACCAGAGAAACTATTTGGTATTTACATGTGTCCTATTTATTTCACTTAAGAGTATGTCCTCAGTGTGCATCCATTTAGCTATAATTGTCTCTAGCTTATCATTCTTTGTGGCTGAGTAGTACTCTGTTTTATGAAATGACCACATCTTCTTTATCCAGACTCCATTTGATGGGCAATTGGGCTGTTTCCAAGTTTCGGCTGTTACAGACTGTCCCACTGTGAATATGGGTGCGCATATATTGCTGTGGTAGGATTCTTTTAATTCTCTTGGGAAGATACCCAGCAGGGGAATAGCTGGGTCTAAATTTAGTTGTTTGAGGAATCTCCATATTGATTTCCACAGTGGTTGCAGCAGTCTGCACTCCCACCAACAGTGGGGAAATGTTCCCTTTTCCTTACAGCTCCACCAGAATTTGGGTATAGGTTGATTTCATGATAGCAGCCATTCTTTCTGGGCTGAGATGAAATCTCAGCATTGTCATTTTACCATCTGTTCCTCTAGATAGTAGACAAAGGTCTATTCTCTAGAATATGTAAAGAACTTAAAAGAATCAGATCTCCCAGATTGAAAGACCCAATCCAAAAATGGGCCTCTGAAATGATCAGACATTTCTCAGACAAAGAAATAGAAATAGCAAATAGATATATGAAAAAATGTTCAACATCACTGGTCATTCGAGAGATGTAAATGAAAACAGTGCTGGAGCATGCATTTTTGACAGGGGTGAAACTGAAAACTTTATTCTTTTTCCTTCTTAATCTTGTATTTTTGTCTCATATCCTTCCCCCATTCTGTTAATGTAATTCTTCTTTGGCTTTGAAAGTATTTCACTGATCATGCCCCTCTGAAGTAAAAATATGATTTATGAGGTAGATGGTTAGATGTTCCTTGTTACCCCTGTCCTCTTCTTACTATTAAAGTGGTGTAATTGGCCAGGATTACTATTCATGTGAATCTTCCAACTTGGGGTTTCCCACACCATTCAGGTAGACTATGTTTGAATGCCAAACCCACATGAAGGAATGACTCTGTTTGCAAATTTTGAGAGAGGATTTTTTTTCCTCCCCGTAGGCCAGAGCAAGGCAGATTTCATTAATTCATCCTTTCACTGA